AAGAGATTAGGATTATAAACTTAATAAAAAGAAAGTATATAAAGTTAGTAATAAAGAGGCTAAAAAGTATATAACTTTTATCTTATAATCTTATTAGCAGATAGAATTCTACTCTTAGATCCCTTAGGGTTATTTCTTAGGATTATTCTTATAACTAATTAAGTTACTTAGGGTTATTTTTATATATAACTAATAATACTTATATAATACCTTATAGATTAGTTATTTTAACTTTAAAACCTATAACTATTTAATTAAGTAATTCTTTAATATATTATTAAGTCTTAGTTTAATATAATATTAGCTATATAGTTTTCTAAAATACTAAAGGATATAAGGTTATTCTTATATTAATCTAAGACTTAGGGTTATTTTTATATTAACCTAATTACTATTATTTTAAGCTACTTTAGTCTTAGTTTAGCTAAGCTTTTTATATTAATTTAAGTATTAACTTAGATTTAGCTAAGGCTTTAATATAAGTAAATTATATTAAAAATTACTAGTTTTAAAGTAAAGATTTAATATAAAATTAATTAAATAGGTTATTTTAATTTTAAAAATAGTTATTAACTAATTATATAATTATATATTTTTATACTAGGTCTTAGCCTGCTATAATATTAGGAATCTTATTTTCTTAAAAAGGTTATTAGCTTAGTGAAAAAAAGATTATAAGCTCCTATATATAATAATACTATACTAAAGTCTTATATAAATAAATAATTATTAGCTCTAATAACTATTATAAGAAAGTAATAGGGTTATAAAAAGATAAAGGTATATATAATAAGATTTTTAGAAGGGTTTTAAAAGTTTAAAGGGTTATAATATAAGAGGCTTTAAGGATATATAATTTTTAACTTAATCTTATTAAATATAGGCAGTTTTATTATTATAATATAAGGACTTATTAGGTAGTAATTAAGGCCTTTAAAGAAAAATATAATAAGTAATATAGTTAATAAGTAAGTATAATAGATAAGTAAGTGTAATAGCTTAACCTATACCTTAAAATCCAGATTTTAAAAGCCTATAAAAAGCTTAAATTAAGCCTAAAATAGTTATAATTTAAAAGTTACTTATTTAACTATAAAATAAAGCTATATTAATTATTAAATAATTCTAACTAATTTATTTATAATTAGTATAAAAAAAGCTTATTTATATTATATAATTGAGCTTTATTATATAAAGGAGATTTTTTAAAAATCTAAAAAAATTATATTATATAGTCTATTTTATACTATCTTTAAAAAAACCTTTATTAGGCTCTTAGCTATTTTATTTAAGGTAATTAAATACTATAGGGTAGGCTATTTCTAGTTATATAATACAGTATTACACTTACTTATTTATTATACTTACTTATTAAATATATTAGTTTTAATTAATTAAATAGTTTATAGTATTTTTAAATAAATTAAAATATTTAAGCCTAGGATTTTTTATAATATATACTTATTTATAATATATACTTATTAACTATATTATAATTAATATAGAAATTAAAATATTTTATTATATTTTTTATAATTTATTATATATAAATTAAAAACTCCTATTAAATTAGCTATTTTATTTAATTTCTTATAATTAATTAAAGTAGTCATCCTCTATTTTAGCTTTTTACCCCTGTCTTATATTTTTACTGCCTACTTAAAGAGTAGGGCTTCTATTAAGTCAGATCCACGAGTAGATTAAATCCACAAGTAGTTTCCCATTCGGCTAACCGGCACGCTGCCTTGACCAGGGTTCGAGCTAACTATATTAGTGGTGCACCTCTTTGCAATCTACGCCTAACTCAGGTAGACGAGGACGTCATGAGACAAGCTTTGAGCAAGCATTCGCGTATCGCCTTGGCCGCGACTAGGTCATTTAGGGAAGCTGAACCTTGTCGCCCGGAATCCATACATACTACCCGCATCTCCGCAAATGGCAGGTAGTTGTGTCGAGCATGATAAGGAGCATAGGAGAACTACCAATGATATCAGAGCTCATGATACCGAGTGTAATGAAGCATCACCTGTCACGCTATACACCTTCCTCGGACGGATCTGCCGGCTCTTATTTCCCCTCATTGACGGAGTGCCATGGCGTGGAGTAAGATTGGAACAGGCTGCTTATTGCCAAACTATCGCCAATTGGACACATTAGCAATTGATTGCTGCTGTACGGAGTGCTCCATTGAGGAAGGCAGTATCGTGCCAGCAGCGTAAGTAATGGCTCCTACAGGGGGGCACATGATTTGCCTGGAGCTTTAAAATTGGGGTAGCCTTCCATCTTCTACACTTCTTTCTTTCTTCTTTCTCATTTCTCCCATTCCTACCCATTCCCTCCCCTCTCCTCGGTCCTCGTCACGATGAGTCTTAAGAACGAAAATAATGGCGGCAGCGATGCCGCTGACTCCAAATCGGGTACAGTCGATTCCACGGCCGGCCGGCAGTTCCCCGTCGATAACCCAGAGGCCGGGACGACTAATCCCCTCCATAAAAATCTCAAGGGCAGGCACATGCAGATGATTGCCATGTAAGGATTTAATACCAAGTACTCAATTGTATACCAACTAATGGTCGCTTTTCTAAGTGGTGGTGCAATTGGTGCTGGCCTGTTCATCGGTTCTGGAACTGCGTTTCAGACTGGTGGACCTGCTTCTGTTTTTCTTGGTTTCCTAATTGTTGGTAAGTTGTGTACCCTGCACTGGTCGTGATGCGATAGCTAACGCGTGTGTTCTTCAGGTGTCATGGTGTATGTTCCCTCGACGTGGAAGTCGAAGCATCTTTCCCTTCAGTTGATGGATATTGACATAGATCATTTAGATACCTCATGATGCAGGCCCTCGCAGAAATGACTGTCCTGTATCCGATCAACGGTGCCTTCACCATGTACATCTGCCGCTTCGTTGATCCCTCCCTCGGGTGGGCGTGCGGCATCGAGTACGCCATCAGCTGGCTGACTGTCCTTCCCTTTGAGATCTCCGCTGCTTGCAACATGATCCATTTCTGGCCAGGTTCGCACGGTATTAACAACAGTGCTTGGATCGTCCCGCTACTTGTCGCCTTGGTGGTCATTCAATTCTTTGGCGTTAGGGGATACGGCGAGGTATGTTCCCACCGGTCTGATAAGTTCCCAGCCTTGAGATATATGGACAATGAGGTGACCGATTATTGAATTAGGTCGAATTTGCTCTCAGTTTGATGAAGATACTCGCCTGCATAGGCTTTATCATCCTGGGAATAATAATCAACTGTGGCGGCGTTCCAACAGACGACAGAGGCTACATCGGTGGAAGATACTGGTAATGTTATGCATGCCTCCAAGTGGCTGAACTAGGCTAACATGGATTTTGAAACAGGAACGATCCTTACAGCGCATTCCTCAATGGCTTCCACGGCTTCTGCAGCGTCTTCGTCACTGCAGCGTTCGCCTACACTGGCACCGAGCTGACAGGACTGGCTGCTGCGGAAACAACCAATCCAAGGAAGGAGATTCCGAGGGCCTCGAATCAGGTCGCATGGCGAATCGGAATCTTCTACGTCGTCAACCTTCTTCTTGTTGGACTCGTCGTACCGGCAAACAGTCCCCTGTACGGCAGTGCGACTACCGCGTCGCAAGGGTCGCCTTTTGTCATTGCAATTGAGCTTGCTGGCATCAAGGTCCTGCCATCGATTTTTAACGCCATTATCCTGATCGCCGTTATGAGTGTTGCTAACTCGTGCACCTTTGGCTCGACTCGAACGCTTCAGGCTCTCGCTGCGAATGGTGCGTGCTGCGTGATGATATGAACATGTTGTTTGAGACGCTAACACACACTTACTGTACAGGAATGTTCCCAAAGAAAATGGCCTACGTTGACAAGAAGGGTCGTCCTATTCCCGTGATCATTCTTCAGCTTCTCTTTGGGCTGCTAGCATTCATTAACCTGGCGCATAATGGTGGTACCATCTTCAATTGGCTCCTGTCTCTGTCGGGTCTTACTATCCTCTTCGTGTACGGTGGCATCGCTCTGGCTCATATCCGCTTCCGCAAGGCCTGGTAAGCAAATCACCTGTTGTTTTCTGGCCTGCTTTGTTCCTTCGATGACTAACTTCGAACAGGGCCATGAACGGTCATACCTTGGACGAGCTTCCCTACAAGGCCAATTGCGGCGTCTGGGGCTCCTGGATATGCTTACTTGTCTGCGTTCTTGCTCTGATTGCTCAGTTCTACGTCGCGCTTTATCCTGTTGGCGGTCCTAACCTGGATGCAACAACCTTTTTCCAGCTCTACCTCGCCGGTCCGCTACTGATTTTCCTCTACTTACTCTGGAAGGGCTACAGCTGGATCTATGAGCCAGCACACCGCCCATTGTTCATCAGAACAAAAGACATTGATATCTACACAGGCCTGAGGGAGATCAGTAGTGTAGGTATCTCTGCAGAGGACAGACATGCTAGCAATGTTGAGTTAGGAGAGGAAAAGCACCAGGGAGGTGCTGGGGCATATATTAAGAATACTATCCGAAATATTATTTAAACTTTACAGGAGTAATATAGTTAATAAGTATATATTACAGATAAGTATATATTACATAAGATCCTAGCCTTAAATATTTTAATTTATTTAAAAATACTATAAACTATTTAATTAATTAAAACTACTTATTATACTCTTCTTTAGAGGCCTTAATCACTACCTAACAGGTCCTAACAGCATCCCTTGTATTATTTAATAATTAATAAACTAATTTTAATAGATATAATATAATCTTAGTAAAAACTTATAAATCTATAAACTTTAACTATAGGATTATAATAAAATGTTTTTTTCCTTAAATAAATACTTTAAATATAATTAATTATTAAATTTAATAGTAAATATTAGATTTAATATATATTAGTTAATAAGGGTAGCTTATATATAATACCTAATTAGGAGCTTACCTTAACTATTATATAAAGATATAGTAATTATACTTATATTAGCTATTATTAATAAAAGAAAAGTAAGTTTATTTTAAAAGTAAGTAAAAGGGGTTTAAGTTATTATAAATTTAAAAAAAGATATTCTTTAATTTACTTTTATATTACTATTAATACTACTATTTATTATTAAGTTAATATAATAGAATATTTTAATTATATAAATAACTTATGCCTTTTATATTATAGGTTATATAAGTATATAATTATATACTAAAGAATCTAAGTATATCTTTATAATAAACTATATAAACTTATAAAAAAGGAGATTAATAAAATTAAGTTATAGGCTAAAGTACTTAACCTTATTAAAAGTAATAAGAAGATATTAGCTTTATTACTTATTTTAAATATTAGTTAACTAATTAAAGTACTTAATAAGCCTAAAAGCAGAAAGTTCTAATATACCTTTATTATAAACTATTAGATTATAAGTATAAACTTAAGATAAAGAAATAAATACCTCTAGAAAGTATATAATATTAAGCTAAACCTAAAGCCTAGTCCCTAGAAGGCTAATATTACTAAAGTAAATATAAACCTAACTTACTAGAGAGATAATATATTTTATTAGTAGCTCTTTACTAAGGGTTTATATAATAAATACTTTAAAGTTATAAGAGGTTATAATTTAGAGAGTTTAAATACTAAGTAGGTAAGGGCTAAGCTTACTGTTTAATAAGCTATATAAGCCTTTTAAGTAAAGTCTAAAGAGGCCTAAAAGAAAGAGATAAAGGTTATTAAAGAGATAGGCAACTTAGTAATACCTAATATATAGCTTTATTAACTAGGGTTAATAGCCTACTTAAAAGATTTTAGTAATAAGAAATAATTCCTAAGAGACCTTATCTTATTAAAATATAATCTAAAGGTAAATAACCCTAAGAATAATTCTAAGCTTTAATATATATATATAATATATTTAATAAGTAAGTGTAATAAATAAGTAAGTATAACACTGTATTATATAACTAAAAATAGCTTACCTTATAGTATTTAATTACCTTAAATAAAATAGCTAAGAGCCTAATAAAGGTTTTTTTAAAAACAGTATAAAATAAACTATATAATATAATTTTTTTAGATTTTTAAAAAATCTCCTTTATATAATAAAGCTTAATTATATAGTATAAATAAGCTCTTTTTATACTAATTATAAATAAATTAGTTAGAATTATTTAATAATTAATATAGCTTTATTTTATAGTTAAATAAGTAACTTTTAAATTATAACTATTTTAGGCTTAATTTAAGCTTTTTATAGGCTTTTAAAATCTGGATTTTAAGGTATAGGTTAAGCTATTATACTTACTTATCTATTGCACTTACTTATTAACCATATTAGCTATTAGATATTTAATTTAAAAAGCTTTTAATATAATTAAATCTAATATAATCTTATAAAATATATTATTTAAGGTTAATTAGAAAGAATTATATAAAAAGTATAATATACCCTTTTACTTTTAATTTAAATACTAGACTTAGAAAAAGTATATTACTATTTATTTTTAATTCTTTACTTATACTATTTAGGCTATATCTTATAAGAATATAATTAATTAACTATTATTTAAACTTACTAAGGGCTAAACTATTACTTTTAATATAATAATAAATTATATTAAGAAACTTATTAATATTAAGAATAAAATTAAGCCTATACTAATATTATTATAAATTAATAAGCTATATAAACTCCTTAAGAATATTATATTTACCTTTTATATTTTTATTTTTAACTACTTTACTAAGGTAATTAAGTATAATAATATATTTATTAGCTTCTTAATTATACTTAATATCTAAGATAATAAGACTTAGGAGAATTATATAAACTTTACCCTTAAGCTCTTAGCTATTATAATTATCTCTTAGGTATTTCTTATAAAATATATAATTAATAAGAGGGCTTTATATATTTAGCAGAAGGTAAAATAAGAATAAATTAAATAAAAAGCTAAGAAGAAGAATCTAAGATATTTTAAAATTATATTTAAGATAATATACTAGTTTCTTATTAATAGTATTAAGGGTTAAGATATTATATTAATATAGTTTATTATTTAACTTTATAATTATAATATAACTACTAGTAGATAAGAGGTAATACTAGGTTTAATTAGTTAAAATAATAAGGATATTATCTATAAAGGTATTTATATTAATATACTTAGTATTTAATTTATATTATAGGCTGCCTTATAAATAGCTAAGATATTATTATATAAGTATATACTTTTTTATAAGAAGTATAAAAATTAACTAATTACTAAGCTTAAACTACTAAAGATTTTATAAGATAAACTTATTAATAATATAATAAATATAAGTATAAGCTATTTATTTATTAATAGTCTTTTTTAATTACTATTAAAAAGTAATAATTAAATATTTTATAAAATATAAATTAATACTACCTTATAAAAAGTATAAGTTAAAGGTAGCTTAGAGGCTAAATTTAAACTTCTTAAAAAGAAGGCATATTATTATAATAATTACTTAGAGGAATTTTTAAAATATTTATTATTTATTATTTACCTTTATAATAACTAAGCTACCTAGTTATTAGAACTACTTATCTTATAATATTAAAATACTACTAATAGTAATATATTAAATATTTTTTATAATTATAGGCTAATTATACTTATAACTAAATACTATAAGGGATTCTTAAAAACTAAAAGGGTTAAAGTTATATATTACTTTTTATTATATAAGGTTAATACCTTAGTAATTTACTACCTATAGCTTATATTACTATTTTAAAAGGATATATAAGTAAATATCTAAGATAAAATAAAACAATTTATTAACTTATAAGTACTAAAAGAAATACTTAATAATTTAAATAATAATAATAAGAAAAATAAATATAAGACTAATAGTAATAGTAATAAAAGTAATAGCAAGGAGGATATAAGTAGCTATCCTTATATAATATAAATAAAAGCCAAGATGTGCTTTTTAGGCCTTAGATTATATTAAATATCTATATAAATAACCTATATCCTTAGGTAAATAAGCCTTAAAGGCTATTAAAAAGAATTTACTATTAATAGCTAAAAATATCTATTTATTATAATTACTTAATATTATTTTTATAATAATATAATAACTTATATTAGTCTTATTAATAAGGCAAATAAGGGCTATAATAGTAATAATAATAATAAAATAAAGCAGGAGAGTCCCTAAGATACTTAAGCCTATTATAAATACTTAATTACTAGGCTAATATATAACAGGCTTATTATAAAAGGGTATTTTAAGATAAATAAATAATAAGTTAACTTCTAGTTTATTAATAAGAAGTAGTATTACTTACTTAGTTTCTTATTTACTATTAATAAATTTAGAGAAATCCTAATATTAAGGCATAAATAAAAAATATTATTATTATATTATAAGGTAATAAGGAATTTATAATTATAATAATAAAAGACTCTCTAGAGAGTTAATATTAATTAAAAACTAAGTTAATTATATAAAGATTATATTTAGTTTTATAGTAAGTAATAAAAAGTAGTAGATATAATTATAATAAATAAGAGCCTTATTATTAAAATTATAAAAATAAGTACTAGGAAAAGTCTTTACTTTATATTACCTATAGCTAGCTGCCTTAGTAAACTTATAGTAGTAATTATCCTATTTATATTTCTCTAAGATAATTTAATAAATTAATACTAAAAGCTTAGAATATCTTATATTAAGTAAAGAAGTAATAAGGTGCTAAGAGATATATTAATTATATTTATAATACCTAAGTTAGCTATAATAAAGTATTTTCTAGACTTTCTTAAGTCTTAGCAGGTTATGGCTAAAGTAAATTAGGTTATTATTAATAAATATTATATAATTATAAAAAGAAGCCTATTATTTTAACCTAAGTTATATAAGCTAGGCACCCTTATATTAATAAAGGTATAAATAATTTATCTTATTATAATACTTCTATTAATAAATAAACTAACTTTCTTTAACTTAATTAATATATAATAGGAAGATATTATTATAATCTAAGTAAGGATAATATATAGTAATATAATATATAATATTATATTAATCCTAGCCTTAACTATTAAGGAAGTAGTTATTACTATTATTAAATAAGTAAAGGTAATAATTAATTAGAAGCTAGAAAAGTACTTATAACTAGCTAAGATTATTATTTACTATTAATACATAGAGGTAATAAAAAATCTAATTATAAAGCTAGGGTATAATACTTACTACTAAGAGATTAATATATAAGATAAAAAGGCAAAAAGGCTTAAGTTTTAAATAAGTAATATAAAGTATAAGTAATATAAAGATAAATAAGTAATTATAATAATAAATATACTTAGCCTTAGTATTAATATATCTAATATTTAAGTAGTAATATATATAAAAATACTATATAAAATAGCAGATTATATATAATAAAGTAAATATATTAATTAAGATAAATAATAAAATAAGGCTATTATTATCTAATTAAATATATAAGGCAATTTAAGAAGGCTATAACTAATAGTATCTAAGTATATTACTATAAATAGCTATATTAATAGTAATATATATTAGTATATAATACTTAATTTTATTATAAATAAATAAAATAATTAAAAGGACTATAAAGAGGGCAAAGAGCTATATAATATTTATTAATATTATATAAATAAGGAAAATAAAGAGAATAAAAGTAGTATAATAAAAAATAAAAAGAAAGGTAATATATAATAATAAGAACTAAAGGTAAAATATACTTAGTATTATACTATAACCCTAGTAGCCTAAAAGTATTAAGACTTTTTAAATTATAAAAAAAAGCTTTATAAATTAAGTCCTTAAGAGTTATTTATTTTATAAATAATAGGGTTTAGGTAATAATAAGATATATTTAAGGTTATATTATAATAAAGTAATTAAAATAGGTAAGTAGATATAAGAGGTATATAAGCTTATTATAAGTATAAAAAAGTATATATAAAGAAGTAAGATAGTAAAGAATTTTAATTACTATCTAGGGTATTTTATATATATTATATTAAGTAAAGACTTAATTAATTTTATAAATAATTAATAAAAGATTATTATAATCTTAATAGTTATAAATATAATTATAAATTATTATAAGTAAATAGCTTAAATTATAAATTAAAATATTTTTTCTTAGCTATTTAATATATAACCTTATAGATATTATATTAACCCTTTTACCTTTATTAATAAGATAACTATTAAAATAAAATATATCTAGCTTTTTAAATACTTTATAATTATAATATTTTATACTTTTTACTTTTTTATTAATATTAATTAATATTATATTAGTATTTAATTTAAGAGATTATAAATTAAGGTAATTATAATTATATAAAATTATTATACCTAGGATTAATATAATATTATAATATTAAATTTCTAGAAATTAGCCAGGCTATATATTATAGCTAAGTATTAAGTAAGTTAAATGAAAAAGTAAAAAATACTAGAAAGTTTATAATTAAAGGTTTTAATAATATTAATAGTATCTTAGAAAGTAATAAATTTATAAATAAGAATAAGGATTATAAATATAATAGTAATAAAAAAAAGAAAAGGAGGACTAAGAGGAAGTTAAAATAATAGCTAATTTAAGTAAAGAAAATTTAAACTTAATTAAAATATTAAAATAGCTATTTAAACTTATAATAGTATTTAATATAAAGGAAGTAATAAATAGGTAATTAGCTTTAACCTTATTAATATATCTTAGTAAAATCCTTAGCTATATAATTAATTTTATTAGTTTTCTCTTAATAAGTCTATATAAATTAAACCTTATTATATTTATTTATACTTAGTACCTCCTCTTCCTTAAATATACCCTCCCTATAAGAGTATACCTATTATTAAGTATTATATAATAACCCTAAATAGGTTAAGTTATATATCTTTAAGATAATTACTAAAAGTATATAATACTTAATTTATAATCTTTATTTAAAAACCCTTTTTCCCTCTTAGCTTAAAGTAAGGCTATTATAAACTTTAAAATACCTTTATTTCTTCTAAAATAAAGTAATAATAGTTAATATATATTTTATAATAATTTATATATTATTAGTATAAAGAGCTTTTAATAGCTTTTATAGACTTTATTTAAGAAAGCTAGCTAATTATATATAAAGCTAATATATAATTAGCAGCTATTATTAAATTTAATATTTATTAAATTTAATATTTATTAAGAATAACCTAATAAATATAACTTATAGTTTCTTTTTTATAACCTTTTTAAGCTATAATTTAAAAAGGTTAAGGAAAGTAATTAATATACTTATTTAATAAATATACTTATTAATTATATTATAAGTTTATATATTAATATTAGTATTAATAAATTTATAAGTAACGTGGTTGATAAGCAAATGCACCAGATAAGCGAGTGCACTAGTCTTATTTCCACCTTAAATCCGGGTTTTAAAAAATTCTTTAAAAATTCAAACTAAGCCTAAAATGGCTATAATTTTAATAGGTTATATATGAGTCTTAAAGTATGCTATATAAATTTTTTAAGATTTTTAGAAAAATTCTATATAACTATAAACCTTAAAATCTATTTATATTATATTATATATTATATAATTAAGCTTTACTATATAAAATAAAATAGCTAAAAATCTTTAAAAATTATTATTTAATAAAGTTTACTATACTATTATAAGAAATATTTTTATTAGATTTTTAGCTATTTTATTTATAATAAAAAGATATTATAGGGTAGGTTTTTTAATACTATATAGTGCAGTAGTGCACTCGCTTATCTGGTGCACTCACTTATTAACCATGTTATTTCTTTTATATTTTTACTTATTTTAAACTTATAATAGCTATTATAATACTTAAAATACTAATTATTAATATATACTTATTTTAATTCTTATAATACTTATATCTTACTAATATTATAAAACTTCTTATATAAACTTAATTATTAGGGTTTAATAAGTATTATCCAAGAAGGTAAGCTAATAGCTTTAGTTTATTTTTATTAGCTATATTACTATTATATAAAGCGCAGATTGTATTATTTTATTTAATATATGCTGGCCAATTAGGGCGATAATTACTAATATAATTTAGGCACCTAGTATATTATTTTATTTAGGCACTTATATACCTATATATTAGCCGCCATATACCTTTTATTAATAATTAAGCTAAGGGCCTGCAGAGATAATGTCCTGGCTTGGCTAGGCTAAATGCATAAAAGGTCCCCGTATCACTCTTATTAAAGATTAAAAGGCGGCAGGCCGGCAAATTCCATCTAAAGCGCCTAGTAGTGAACAATATGGACGCCATCGACTGGCCGAGATCAGATGTCGCCCGCTGCTTGCCTCGTAGAGCGGGAGATGCCGTTTCTCTTAGTATAGCTTTAAGCCACAATAATTAAATGTAACTACTATACACTAGTTAGTTCGGCCGCCATCTATATCACCAATCGCTGTTGCGGGCGCTACATTAATATAAATGACGATGACAATAATTCCTTAGGCATTTATTTCTAGCTTATGTCTCTAGCTGAACTATAACTCGCTCCCTAGCTGCTACACTATGGCGAGCCAACGTAGTCCACTTTGTTATATCTATTCCAGATAGGAGGTTATAGAAGGAAATTTTACCCCTCTTCTGGTTCTGATCGATGTAATATTCTCTTAACTGCTAATAGTCTTACACGATACGGCAGGCAGTCTTAACCTTCAACCTTATCTGGCCTGATCCTCAATTCCGAAAAGAATCAAATCTTCCTTTGCTATGGCGAGTGCAACTAATAAGCCGGCGCCCACGTCAGAATCCGCCACCCTTGGCCCGGACCATAGTGCCACCTATCTAGCACCATTTAGCATCGTTATAGCCATCGTTATTATCAGCACAGTGGCCCGTATTTATTGCCGTATTTATCCCCGATGGCGTCTCGCTTGGGATGACTATACGTTGATTTTTGCTTTTGTAAGTACTGGTGAAGAGAGCGAGCATTTGCAAGATACAAAGCTGCTGGCGGGAAAGCATATGGTTCACCTGCGTCCTATATATGAGCTAACCACCCGAGGCTGCAGGCTCTCACAACTACTTGGTACTCTTTGATGGTCTTGGAGTATAGCAAGTACGGTCGGGCTATTGAGAAATACACCCAAGACTCCTCTATTGTTGGGCCGATCGAAGCCGCGATGGGCCTCATATTTTTCTGGGCGCTAAACGTTATACGCATCTCCATGTGCTTGATGCTGCTCCGCCTCAAGGACGAGAGAGCGTGGAGGTGGGCCTTACGAAGCCTTATCGTCCTCCAAGTGTGTCTCATCATCGTCGCCACGTGTGTACAGATGGCTCTCTGTCGGCCTCTATCTGGCTTGTGGGCTCCGACTCCCGATACCCGGTGTATCCCGGTGGAAGGTTTTAGACGCTATTGGATTACGCATTACTGTAAGTGAAAGGAAGCTTAGAAAGAGCCTAAGCGGCAAACAAGCTAATAATATTTCAGCCTTTCATATCTTCTGTGATTTCGTCATCTCCCTTATGCCCCTTACGTTTATTTACGCGATGCATCGGTCTCCGCTTGAAAAGATACTCCTTTGCGGTTTAATGGGTGCCGGTCTAGCAGCGACAGCAGCAGCCCTTGTATTTCTCATTATCCTCGTCAAATGCTTTGGAGTCTGTAGGGATGCCTTGTTTAACATTCGCCTAGACACCTGTACCTCCCTACAGCTGTTCTTGGGCGTCATCGCTGCTAATCTGCCTTGCCTCAAGGCGCCGCTTCATCATATTCTGATCCAAAGGGGCATTGTTCGGCCGGCGAAGCACCCCTCTGCCGGTGGCTCTCCCGAAAGCTTCCTGGGCAGGATGACCCACGGGAGCCACGTTATGGAACAGTTGCACGACCTCTCGCGGGAAAGTTGCACGACTTCTCGTGTCGAGCTAAGAGACAACAAGAAGGCATCCCACGCAGTCACTAAGCCCAGTCTCGACTAGAGCCGCCTCCTGGGATATGGGAAGAATCAGGACTAGTATTAATATTGGAGTAGGCTTCTGTTAAGAGGCGGGAAAGGGTAGTTATAGATAGACTGGCATATTAGAGGGGGAATTTAGACTCTATAGATATAATCAGGCTGGTAAATCTATCTATATCTATCTATTGGCACCTTACGTAGATAGATATAGATGCTTAGTTATATATTGTAATATAGATAGGTAGATGTAGGCCATGTGTAGAGAGGAGGGTTTTAAAAGTTATTACCCACCGCTAAGTCTAACATCCCTAATAAGTCAACTAAGTATAAATAGCTATAAAGCTAACCTATTTCCTCCCATGTTGTAAGAGTTCGCGGAGGTCACGACCAGAGGGGGTATAGGTAATTAAAATGCATAAAATAACAGATCCTTCTAGTCCTACCTATTTTAAGTAATAAAAGAAGCTCAAGTGATTTCTCGAATTACAAATCGCTACATTGCACAAAAGGCTAGATGGCTTCGTATCCAAGGCATATCACGGAGTGTAGACCATTATGCAACGGAAGTCCCCTGGTATGTTATCATTGGCGAGATTACTAATATGCTTATACTTAAGGTGAAGGTATATGGCAAAGTTTGACATTTGCTATTTTGTCCTTAATTAGCTGAGAGGAATCGTAGATGCTTACATTCCGCCTTCTTTCAGCCTTGAAGCTCGTAATGTCACCGACAGAACCCTATTTCTGTACACTTTATCTCGACCTGTGAAATAGCGAAGAACGGAGGCCTGAGACTCAGAGAGGGGATCGATGCTATTTTTGACGTGGGCCTAGACTCTTCTAAATGTACATTTACCTGTAAACTGCCTTTCCCGGGGTCCAAGGTGGTTGTTTCATGCATGAGTCGTTTCAGCGTGGTGACTCACCCGAGGCCACAACACCTTGTAAAGGCACAACACACAATACAGCAGTAGACATACCTTTGAAGTGGTGCGTGGCAGGCTTTGCTAAATCCCTCCACAATAATATGCCGAGGGCTTGGCAAAGTCCAGAAGGTTAGGATTAGTATCACCGATACTCGATGGCCACGAAATTCACCACTCAGTTGACTTTGGGGAGTATTGCAAGATAAATAAAATTATTACACTTTGTATGCCACCTTATGTGTCTCATCTACTTCAGCCTCTTGATGTTGGGTGCTTTGGATCACTCAAGGGCTTATGGTCGCGTGGCCGGTGCCACCAAGGCGGCGATCTAGATTGATTTGGAGCCACGCCATGCTTGAGACTACAAGCTGGCCGCGGTCGTCCTCATACAAGACCTCAACGGATTTCCAGGGTTGAAGTCGACAGCTATCATGACCAACGCGTTGAAACTGTGTGGGATCCACATTTGAATAACAGCAATGGCTTTGGAATTTTGGTGGTGGGGGCAAAGCTCCAATACCATACCGCAGAGTCCAGATGCTAGGGAAAAAACGCCACAGTATTTTCCGTTACTCCTTTAATGACCGGTAAGGCACACTTAACGTATTGTGGGCCTTTTGGTCTCGGTATTGATTGGCTGCTAATTGATCCGCTATAGATACAAGCCTCAAGGTGGTAGAGCAGTGAGAGCAAAGGTAGGGATCTGCAGGATGTATTATCAGCAATGCTTTATTTGTAACCTTGTAATCCTTGCTGATAGGTACCTCTGATACTGACGTCTTGGTTGGTCTAACCTAAATGTGTGACCTTATCTGTGCCTTATCTGTCCTTGAGGGATAAAATGGCTCTTGCTACCGAGGAGACTAGCAAATCGCGGCTTACCCACCATGGCTAAAAACAGCATAGGCAGAGTGCCGTATCTCCTAAGGCTAACGTATGCTAGTGGGCTCCAGTGACATGACAGCTAGCCAATCGTATAGATGCTTTCACTTTCGTTTAGCAAAGAGGCATGTCTTGGAATTTAGCAGGGAGCTACTAGTAGTCGTTAGCTTAAAGAGATGCAGTTACCCGTTGGCTCGAGCCGGGGGGGGGCCAACTAAGCAAGCTTAGTTGGCCACAAAAAGGCAGGACAGTCACAAAACGGTAGGACAACCCCGCTCCGCCGGCTATCGCGAATTTCCTCGATTTTATATATAAAATCAACCCAAATCTAGACGCCAGTTAGCCAAAAAAGAAGTACTCTTATCCAAGTGCATTATGCCTTTAAATGCAAATATCAGAGCAGCTTAAGCGGTGGTTTCTTTACGCTAATAACTCTAAAAGGGCCTCTCTTATAATGCTTCTAATATAATAAGAAAGCCTCTTTTAATACGCAATGCTAAGCGGCAGTACAAGGGCTCCTACAAGTTATCTATTATGCATATCATTAAGAAGCTTAAAGAAGCTAAAACAGCAGATTTTAGCCTAGTTCCTAAGCCAAATAAGGGCCGGCTGCAACTCCTTTTAGATAGCAAAGAAGAAGCTATTATATACTTTATCATTTAGATATAGAAGTCTGATCTTCTGGCCTCTAAAGGCAAGATTAAAGATGCAGCAAATATAATAAGAAGCCGCCGTGATGCTGCTATGCAGCCGGTCTTAAAGATATAATATAGTCGCTTCCGTAATAATTATCCTAAGCTTAATATATTAATTTTAAAGTTAAAAGAAGCTACTCGCTATAAGTATAAAGAAGCCGGCGTAGAGGAGATAAAGCAGTGGTTTAAATAACTTTCTGAAGTTATCACCAGATACAGGATTAGTGCCTTAGAGTATTAGAATACTAATTAAGCCAGAATTAGAGTTAAAATACTGCAAAAGCATATATAATACCTCATCATACATACTAAGAAGAAGACTCTAACAGAGGTATTTTCGCCGAAAAATAGGGAGACTTATATAATAATTAGTATAGGTAACGCCGCAGAAGCAACTACTCCTCCTTAGCTTATCTTCAAAGCTTTTCTAATAATCAAGTAGTTAGATATCAATAGTGATCCTAATATATGCTTTACATAGTTAGAAATAGCTTTTTCTAACGCCGAGATAATGCTTAAGTAGGTAAAGCACTTTAACTGGTAATCTTAGGAGAAATCTACTACTATATAATATTATCAGCTGGATTTTAAGCAGTGGTTTAGGTATAATAAGCACCTAAAAAGCAAATTTAACCCTATTACTCTATATAATACGCCTCTGGGCATAGAAGGAAAGGAGGAAGAAGAGCTTATATGGCGGTTGCTTATAATCAATGGCTTCTCCGGTCACGGCTCCTTTGCCTTCAGAGAATATTATATAAAATTCAATATCCTCATTACTTTCCTTCTTCCTCATTTAACACATATACTTTAACCAATAAACCTAGGCGTTTTTCAGTAGTTAAAAAATATACACTAAAAAAGGCTGTAAGAAGCTTTATAGAAGGGAAATCTAATATTTAACTGCCGTGACTTTACAGGCTCCTTTAAGGTATATATTAGCAGCTTACATCTTCTCTAAAAGATCCCTCTTTTTATATACTAATTCTTATAATATTAGGAGATCTTTAAAGAAGGCTTTATAGCTACCCATATTATCGCCGGCTTTAAAAAGTCAGGCATTTTCCTGCCAACCGAGGTGCCAGCGGTTAGTTATCTGCTAAAGAAGAAGTTAAAGACTTATAAGGCTATCAATCCAGCGCTATCTTTACTTTTACCAGCAGAAAATCACTTCCCTTTAGCCTCTAATACAGCAAGGGATATCAGTAACCGCTATTATAATATTCTAAGCTCCTTAACACACCAGGGACTTAAAGCTATATAGAAGATTATTAGCAAAGCTATTATACTTAAAGATATCATAAAAAAGCATATTACTAATCATCAAGAGCATATTAAAAAGAGATATTATCAGAGAAAGCATAAAAAGCAAGGAAAACCAGTAAGAAATTATTTTTATAATATAAGCTTAGAAGAGCTTTATAAATAATAGGCTAAATTTATTAAAGTAAGAGCAAAGGCTAAGCAGAGATCTTAGCTTTAGAATATATAATCTTTTATAATCCGGCAAATAGAAGAGATAAAAGCTAAGTAGCAGTAAAAAAAGGAGGTTATTATTAATAGCATTAAAAAGAAGATACGCTTTAAATAGTGGCTTAAATATACCAAAAGAGATATAGAATACACTTCTCTTAATACATTATAAGCAGAGATATCCTTATAACTAAAGAAGAAGGAAGATTACTTTATAATTAATACCTAGCTTACCCCAGAAGCTCATAAGGCTATTTGCAACGCCGGCTTTGCAGCAAAGCCTCTCTCAGCAGCAGATTTAACCGGCCTTCTTAACAGCGATAACTCTGTCGATTTTCAACTTACATAACCGCCAGCTGATACTGATTTTAATAAAGAAGATAGCCTTATTAATTTATCAGAAGAAGAGGAAATCGCGATGCCCTTATCGCCGCCTTGCCTACCTAACTACAAGTCCCCCCTTCTAACGGTGCCCTTAATACCATGCCCGGCTTAACACCAAGCCCAATTTCGCAATGCCCTTATTTCCCTCATTAAAAAAGAAAGATCTGCTATAGGAGCCAGTCACAGGCCTTAGGAAGGACAGGAAAGTACCTAATTTACTAGAGAAGGCATTATTAATCGGCAGGCAAGCTTGCCGCCGCTGCAGCTATTTCCCTCTTACAGTTACAGTTAATAGCAGATATATTATCACAAGAAGCTTCATTTCAATTAATTCAGCAATTTCACCTCTGTTAACGCCTTCAGAATAAAGATACATTGAAAATGCCGCAAAACACACCAAAAATCGGGCCCAACGGGTGTCCCACCGTTTTGTGACTGTCCCGCCTTTTTGTGGCCAACTAAGCTTGCTTAGTTGGCCCCCCCCCGGCTCGAGCCAACAGGTATCTGGATAGCTCTGGAGCTATGCCCAGTACAATCAAGCTGCCGGTTGCCCCGACGCTCTGGGCGGCAGTACTCGATTACTTGACGAGCCATGGCTGAATCTGTTCGAGATAATTAGTGACAGCTCGGATAGACTTTGCCCCCGCACGGTTCGCGTCTTG